TTGGAGCTTACTGGCTAAAGCGATAGAAGGAGGGGATGTAAAAACGGAGGAAATAACTGCCTCGATCCTCTACTCTCAAGCCCTGAGGCGCTCTAGTGTGGAAAAAAAAAAATCTTCTCATTTTATCATCTTCAGTGCATAAAATTGAGGAGTGTGTGATGTATTTACGTCGACTAACAGAGTCTTGACACTGGCAAGTCTGCACTTATCTGTTTGCACACCTTTTAGGTGGCTTTGCTTGATAGCCCTGCCGCCCTGAACTTCTACCAACTGAGCTGGTTATATGTGAAATTAAAAAGGGAAATTATTAAACAGCCGGCTGAAGCTAAACACGGTTCCTGGACACAGGCACAGAGAGAGTGATTCATTTTCATCCCATCTCAGCCTGACAAAATTGATTCAAGCATTTACATATGTTCACATATTTCAGAGATTGTGTTCAATTTTTATTTGTAAATCACAACATATACTCATGTCGAGGCGTTTCAGAGCTGCAGTTCAAATCCTTATGAAATAACCACATTTAAACATAAGGCGAGGGCTCGTACATCTAGAGACAAACCGGTATGGATTTTTTGGGGGCAGATTCTGTAAACAAATTTCCAATGTTCACACACACACACACACACACACACACACACACACACACACACTACAAATACTAGTACTACAAATAAGGAAACAATTCCAAAGCTGTTGTTATCAACGCCACAGAAATGTGATTGAGGTTTTATATCTTACAGTTCAACAGTAACATTATATTTATAAATTACTTTTCCAGTCTTAAGACATTACAGCTCCCTTTCACACACACAGCACTACTTCACACGGCTCTTTTTCTATCACACATTGTTTATAATGGTTCAGGCACTAGAGGCAGTTTGGGGTTGAGTATCTTGCAGAGTGAAGGAACTGGGGATCGAACCATATAGTCCATCTGGTTATTGGACAACCATCTCTACCTAATGAATCACAGCCGCCCATATGAATAACTATAACAGAAAACACAAACACATCTAAATTGTTATACCTTTAAAACATTCAAACATATTTGAAAGGCTGGTATCGGCCATTTTCCGCCGCCAAACTTATAAGTCGGTCAGGTATCTATCAAGAATCTATATTTTTAGCAGGTAGAGTGAAGCAGGTGATTTAAAGAGACAAGACCATCCGAACGAAAATAAACATATATCGTGTCAAAAATTACTTTCACATTTAAATTTAGAGTAACTAACTAGTTTTCCCAACTTCGTATCCAACTAACCAACTAAACTTACCTCTCACAGACAGCATGTGTGCTTACTGAAGAGCATCACTCACTTATTAGAAGCACTACTCTCGCTCTGGAGGTTACTCCAGGGAGATAACAACTTGTGCTCATTGCAGAGAGTATATACTGTGTGCCTACCTTCAAAATAAAAAAAGAAAACACGACTCAAATGTTCAGTGTGTTTCTGCACAGACCTGCTGTGCCCTGCACCGGAACAAAGCTCCTCAACAAATCCTAAAACCTCTCCCTGCAGGGAATCATTAGTTGGGACACATGTGACATCATTTGAATCCGCGACCTTGCGAGCCTTACGGGACCACTGGATCGGTAGACACATCATTGAATAATACACAGCTCTCTTGCGTGGCGTCGCACAGGGGACGGCGCGGGGAAGTGGCAGAGCATTATGCTAAAATATGTACCATTTCCACTGTGGTCTGCTGGGCCTCGGCGGCTGTTGTTTGTGCCACGCTGGCTGTCTTGGCTTCTTGGGCTCACTCCGTCTCCGGCTCGGGCCTCATTATGTGTGACAGCGCTCTGAGAAAGCAGGTAGAGGCTGGAATGAAAGCGAGGGAGGGAGGAGGCTTGCTGCACAGAGACGGGGCCTTCTCTTCCTCCTCATATCATGGATGAATCAATTGATGCTGTTTTGTGCACTTTTTCTGCTGACCCAGCGAGAGGAGGGGGGGTGGTATTCGGCCAGTTGCCTACGGCATGGCAGCCTGAGTTTGAGTTTAGTTCACTCTGTCACTATTATACCCCCCTCCCACCCTCCTATCCTCATGCTTCTTGCTAGTGCAAGCACTCACACAGGAAATTTTGTTCACACACACACACACACACGTACACACACCATCCTTTTCCTCTAAAATGCATTTCTTGCCTGTGGAGTTATGGCATTGGACTGTCTGCTAGATATTAGGGTTGTGGGGGTAAATCTAGATGATGGATGATTTCTGTTGTGCTGTCAAAACCGGCGCTTGATAAAAGAACAACACAGGACAGACGCACAAGACAAACGGATGGTGGGGGGGAAAGGGAGAGAAAGCAAAACTCACATCAATATCTGCTCTTACCACATTCAAGACACTGAAGCAATTTGAATGAGGAAGTCTACGTAGCGTCGTTGGTGAGGGGGGTCTATTATTTACAATGACACTGTCGGATGCTTTTAAACCGACCAACACATAAAGCACGCCGCTCACAGCTGCACTTGCAAGGTAAACATTATTACAGGTCCTCAATCAAAATGTTTTCGCCTGCACGTTGTGTCAACTCGTCGGGCGTCTGCAGTTGACTGTGGGCAAAACAAACGCATTGCTGTCTTGTCTGCAAGAGGAATAAATATTGATATGCTCCAGTGGCCTGTGTGTGTTAATTAAATACATGCTTATTGAAATTCAATGACAGCTGGAATTTCACAGTGAGCAGGGGATCTCGCTTCTCCCCAAGAGTGTAAAACATAATTGGTTGACAGCAAAAAGTAACACACAATTAGTTAGGGAGGTTTAATTAATATTATTCAGGCGAGGTCCTCAGTTTAGATGCGTCCTACCGCGCGCTGCCTCTCTGTACAGATGCGGCAGATGTGGCGCTGGGAGCTCAAGGCGACTGGTTGATGCATACTACAGGGGTCCATGGTCGAAGCCGTAAACCCTCAGTGGAAACAAATGAGGGGAAATAAACAAATTCCCTTATGCACGATTTTTGTGGCATCCCTCTCTTGTTCTGAAGTTCTGTAAAAGCTTTTATCAGCAATCAATGTGTGAGTAGAAAAGTAGTGGACATAAAAAGTATTATACAACAGACTGAGGGTGTGGCTTTAGTAGGCAAAGTAGGTCATTAAGCTAAATGCTAAAAGTAACATGCTCGAAATGCTGATGTAAATTTAGTGCGGGCTTCACCATGTTAATTATTTCATTGTTGCACATTAGCATGCTAACATTTGCTACTAAGCAATAAAAATAAAGGACAGCTGAGGCTAATGGGAGTTTCATAGCAAATGTCAGAGCATCTGAAGTAGTTAGCCTCAGGAACCAGGAGAGGGCGCGTCAGCTTACTTCAGCAGCACAGGCGAATAAACATCAGGAAATATAAACAATAATGTAAAAAGATGTAGAAGATATTGAGGTTGCACAGACAAAAATATTGAAACTGCAGTCACACTGGGAGTATTGCACAGTTTAAATTAGATTTACACCTGAGATATTTCAGTCTGGAGCAAAGTGGTGGACAAACTGTCCCTCGAGCAACAGACTGTGAGATGCACTGACCAGTGACTTACACTTAAAGTTCCCCTCGAATGAAATCACTGGCTTCGCTGATGAAACCCAATTTACTGCTGAATATTTCACAAAGACCTTGGAAAAACTTTAATTCAAGAAGATTTTTAAAAAGTTAACTCACTGAGCATTTCCCCCAGCCAGTTCAACATAAAGCCATACACTTAATTCACGCTCACATCCCCCGTCACCAAGGCTGTCTCCTCTTTCTTCCCACAGCGGCATTGACACCTGGACTCCTCTGTGAATCATGTATCACACTCACTTAAATGGCCTCACACGGCTTATGGACAACAATCCGCTTTGTTTTGTGCTATTGTGCGACACATTAAAAAGCAATTTGCTGCCAGACCTATTGAACAGACCTGCAATTGTTCCCCCAACATCACTCCCCTGGTGGACTGTTATTGTCATTGAGTGGTTTGGGGGGGCATGGGGGCACCACTGACAGTGGGCGATTGGGAAATTTCAGGCTTTATTGAGCTGGGCTCCACAAAAGGCAAATGGAAGTGAGTTTGAAGAGAGGATTACTGAGATAATGTAGATACAAACACATAAACACCACTGAGCGTTCATTCATGTCCACGTCACGTACGAGCACAAAGAACTCAGAAAGAACTGCCAAAAAAAAGTCATAAGATAAATGACATTTCTGCTCTGCACTAGAATCAGATGCTTAGCTAACTTAACACTATCAACCTTAGAATACTTCATATGATCCAGGTCAGGGATGGAGAGTCTGAGCCTGAGAGAAAACTAACTGAGCCCGAACTGAACCCGTCAGGCATTCTGGTTTTTGAGTCCAAACCTTTCCTGACATGCACGGTTATCTTTTGTTTCCCCCGATTACAGATGTGCATGTGTAGAAAGAAAAAAAAAAAGAAAAGCCCCACCAACATGGCCAACCTGAACCTGAATATCAACAGCATAACTCATGGAAGATTTATTTTTTAGTCGTCAGTCAAAACACTATGAAAGATACCACAAAAAAAGGCACAAAATAGGAATTAAGAAGAAATATGATAATAGAACAATGAATATGATTTCTACTGCAGCCATGTGAAAGATTTAATCCAGAAGAATAACATTAAAACAGCCTAAGAGTTGTCTTAAATCATCCAAATAAGCTGTATCCAGTTTAGGAAAACAGCAGTGTGTACCGACAGATGTTCACAGTATATCATGACTCTGTGCTGTAGAAGCTGCAGAGTATAAAAACACTGTCAAAACTAAACAACTCATTCCTCCAGACCACAGCTCCCGAGCTTGGTACAGTATTCAGACACAATCCCACTACTTCATCCCAATCCAGCATCACACCCACACACAGAACCACCACATCTGCATAAACAGTGTTAGCAATAAGGCAACACAAACACATCTGCACAAACAACAACATAGATTATTCACAAAAACACACTGCTTACAGATAAATCAAAGATATTTACCTGGAGAACACGTGGTTCCTGCATCTGTCCAGGTAACTTCCGTTGACCCGAGAACCCGGTCCCTCTCGCTGGCAGTAGCCGGCTCTCAGCCTCCCCCCACGGCCTCCAGCTCGAGCCATGCAGTCCTTCCATCAGCCCTCCTCGCCCCCGTCCCTCCACAGCAGCTGTCCGCCTCACCTGGGCCTGATCCCGGGTGGTGACTGATCGGGAGAAGGCCCGTTTCTCCCTCCCAGGTGTAGCTAGCTAGGTGCATGCTAGGTGCTAGCTGCACGTGCACCGGCTGTGAAAACGAGCGGGGTTTGAGGTTATCCAGGTAACCGCAGGTTTCACCGCAGAGTTCAGTCTTTACAGGTCAATTCACCATCAAAGTTAATTAAGATTAATTAAAGACACATGTCAACAAACCAGCTACTGACCAATCAGATCACAGGGAAACCATCATCTACAGCAGACCCACCTATTCCTGGCCCTCGCGGACCACCTAACTCGAAACAGCGCCATGATGTGTATTGTGCCGGACTGATAGTTTTGTGTTGTTCATTGTTGTCACTGTTTCTGTGATTGTGTTGTGTTCAGCTGTGAAGTGCGGTTGTTACTGAAGCTCTTTGTTTTTCCCACATCAATGAACGTGTCACGGGTGGGCACGTGGCCGTTTGGACCAATGGGGGAGGGGGGGCGTGGCTGGTTGCCCATTGGCCGGTTGTCAACAGGTTGGGGCGTGAATGAGGAAGTGTCGGGGGTGAGGTTCTACAGGGACACACGTGTTTACTGTAGAATGAATAAAGTGCAGCAGATAGATGCTAATAATAATAATAATAAAGGTTTATTATTATTATTTGATCAACATGATGAGAAATAAAAGCTCAAGTGTCTTTGTCATGTTTTTTTATTTCAAAAAATCCACACACCATTTAACATTTCACTTGATTATGAAAGAACATTCACTACTCCTCTTACCTTTAATTGACGTATCCCACACTTCCTGCCACTTGAGAGTCCATGAGGAAACGAGTGTTTTGTCAAACGCTTTTATTTTCAACAGACAATGTGTGCCATCATGAACTGTGCTGTGTGTGGCTACAAATAAAGAAAAGTGGTCCAAAGCAGAATCACACCTTTTCAATTCATGAAGAGGGAACGTTGAACAACAACAAAACAGGGCTTATATGTAATTAAAAAAACAACATGTGGGACAAATAGGTTGAGCCATTACAATAACAACTGAATGAAAAGTATACTATACTATTCAATATGTGGTTTCCTGGTATGGTGCTTTTGACCTTTTTATATTATTGTTAAGTGGAGATTTATTTTATTCATCCCACAAAGGGGAATTGAAATGACAATTACATTTGTATTATGTCCTGATGATGATATCATGAACCGCACGTTCAGTATGCTTGTTGCTCAACATTTCTCCTGACTGGGCAGATGGTCCCACCATATCTTAACTGTAACTTGGCACAGTCGTCCCTTAAGCTTTCTCCAGATGTCAAAATTAAAGCACACTCGAGTGAAGTGATACACCAAGTGCATAAAGAGGGTGGGATTTATTTATTTGAGCATTTCCAAAACCAAGAATATAAAGGGAAAAGAACATGGATTCAGATATAAACATAGTGTGACTAGTAGCAAACAAAAGGCACAGCACAAAATCCTGAGGCTTTATGATAACAAATACTCAGGACAAATCATTAATATGAGATCTGTGTGGATATATATTCTTAATCGATGAGCAACTAGAGAAGATACATTTCTGCCCCACACTCGCATCATCAGCCTCTTTTAACACAATATGTGTTCATGACATGATCCTCATTTTACTCATGTCCCGATGCCAGGGCCACAATCCTTCAGAGGCTGCACTGGAAAAACTTGGCTGTCCCATTTCCAAGGCTCCATCGAACACAGCGGACAAATGCATCCTTCCATTTTCCCGAACATGAAGGATTAACGTAGCTTCATTAGCTGGTGACTGTTGTCGTTCCAGCCAGCTAAAGGTCGCTGGTTTGAAATAAGAAGGCTGTTTATTTCCACTTCTGTCTGTGTGAAAGATAAACATTTAAAAAGGCAAACGTGCCTCTGGTGTTTTCTGTTAACTGCAGGCTGTGTGTGCTGTGCAAGAATGGAGAGCTCAACATTAGCAGCTTAACTCAGGGGACGGGGCTCACAATAGGTCAGCGTATCCTAAAATTCATACAACCATCCAGACGGGGGCGGTTGAAGAACTGGTTCCAACCTGAGGCTGAGAAGATACTGAATCCAAGGTTTCCAGTTAAGATCCTGGTGGATTTGCCAAGCCGGCTGCTGCACTGTCAGATAAGAGGCCTCTATCAAAATTCATTCCATCGCCGATGTCGTCGACACACACCATCCCAATCCATTAAATCTACAAGATATAAAAACCCTTGCTGTTATAATTGTCATATCAGAAGCATATTTTCTTCCTCTAATAAAATACAACCGTGCGAGATCCGTGACCAATGATTTGATGTCTTCATATTATGATTAATTTCACATCTGGTCACAGGAGTGATTATATTATTGATGTAGTCACTGTCAATTTGCTGAGGGTATAATAGTAGTGGTTCTTGGAAAATGATTAGACTATTAACCACAGAAGGAACAAAGAAAGATTAGTGTTTGCTGAGGCAGCCCGACAGTATCTGAGGTTTATTATCCCGTGTTGTGTTTGAGTGTCATCGCCAAACCTTTTCCACTGCATTATATATGATTTACTGCAGTTTAATCTTGTATTATCTTTAACTTTACTGAAAGGGCCAAGATGTAGTTCAAGGTATATTTCTAGTCCTGATGACCACTTCACAGTAGTTTTCTCACTTTCTCTATCACACTTCAATCTCACACTAGCAGCTCAGACGTCAGGCAACAACGTGGGGTTCAGTGCTCACGGACACTTGAAAATGCGGAATGACGGACACTGCGACTCGCTGTGAATTTTGCAGACATTTTAATAGTAGGCAGGAAAAGGTCCGGGAAATGTCCAAACCAACTGACTAGGACATTTGCGTTGTTACGCACAGCCTGTGTTTGATTGTCACAAATTAGTTAAGTAGTAAATCTGAACAACCCTACTCATTAGTTTAGAAGCCTCAGTTCTATTGAGTCGTGATTCATCATATTATTTTGAAACAGCTTTATCTGATTTGTTTAAAAAGGAGATGCAGCGGAGGATCATTTTGCCAACACTTTTAAATAACCAGAGGACAAAGGGGAAGTTGCCACAGGCAAAAGTAAAGACCCTGCAGCTGAGATTCCACCAATTAGCAAAGACTTTCCTCCACCTTGGCACTCGGACAGATTTATCACAGCGTAAGGACAGAAGACATTAAGATAAACTTTGAGCTTTGCTTTTTTTCCAGCACAGATGATAATTTTCCAGGCAATTAAGATGCAATGCGTTATAGCAGGTGGGGTCAGTGCATGCTCATGGGAAACTCTGCGTGATGAAACCAGCTCAGTGCTGTTGTGGGCCGTGAAAAAAAAAGAAGAGGAAAAGCTGCTCGTCAGCTGTCCTACAAGCTCGGGTAATTGACCCAGCTTTGAGACACATCAGTGATATCAAAGAGTCATTAAGTTCTTTCAAATTATATTCCCTCATGAAATGTTTCCTGGATGCTGCATTTTTTAAAACCGCGTCTGTAACAATTCTGTCGTTATCCGTCTCAAAGTCACTGACAATATTCTGCGCGGCTTCTTCTGACCAAATTGAAAAGTCATGAGACATGTCCGCATGTACACAACATTGAGCGCACATACTTACCATTGCATAGAATGTGTTTTTTTTTGCTTCACTTATTGAAGTAATATCGCAGCATGTTATGGAAAAATTGAGCAAGGCTTCAATAAGACATGTACTTGAGCACTGGCAGCTGGAGGGCCGTGCGCATGCTTTAGCTGCTTAACTGGATGCACACAAGCTGCACTGCGGAAGTGAAGGATTGATAAGACTGTGATTCAGGAGGATAACACAGTTCACTGCTTCAATTAGACAATTTTTAATATGTTGTGTCCCATTATTTATTCTTGTGATTCTCACTTAAACAGGAAGGTCAGAAGTCAAACCAGTCACATGTGAATATACAACATCTGTCAATGTGGTTTAATTGAATCTATTTCTCATTCTTGCATCTGGCACAGTTCTTGCGAAAAGTTATCAAGTAACTAAAATCATCGTGGTCACTTTTTTATGAAACTGTTGCAAATTAAGTGAAACAACATTTTACGAGGGTCTGAGCTGAGAAACAGCAAACCCATATTTTAATCAGTTACCTTCTGCACAATTGGCTCCAAACTGCTGGAACAGGATCTGGCAAAAGAGAATTGAACATTGATGACTCAAAACACTAAACAGTGTCCATTGTCAGCTCATTTGTGCATTTTACTACTTGAAAGATGTTTCCTTTGGAACCGAACTGGATCCGAAATAAATGAAAAATTCATTCCAAGTGTGGATGTGGTACATGAAACAAAGAACCCACTAATATGTACGGTATCAAAGGAAACATAAAAGTATAACAACCTTCATTGTGGCTGGCTCCTGCAAACACACACCATCTGTGTGGATGAAATTCTGTTTGCCTGAAACTAGCCAAGATCTCTCTTTTCCAGAAAGCAACAGAAACATGAAATCTTTGTATGTTTACCTTCGCTAATAGAATCCATGTTGTTTTCCTTCCTGTGAACATGTATGAACATTCCAGCACCTAACATGTGTGGAGGCTTTGAGGCAGTGGCTCAACCATATGGAAATGCTTGAAGACATTTGCATTGAAGAATACAATTTATTTATTTATTTCTAACTTTGAAGTTTGTTTTCAGAAATATCTCAAGAACTACACGATGGGTTTGAATTACATTTTTGTCTTAATATTCATTCACCCGTTTTTTTCCCTCGAGCACCAACTCCATATCCCATCCAATAACATGGTGACTTCATGGTTTGTGACCTATACTTCAGGCAGCCACCAGGATGAATAGTTCAGAGCAACAGGAGCATGAGTGAGGTCCTGTTAGTATTTAAAGCAGAATATTTAGAGCAGGTACGACATGAACAAACTGTGGCTGCTCTCAGGCCTTTAAACTGTTGGATTACGGCTTCAACAACATGATTATCACAGTTTGCAGGACTTTAAAATAAATAGACGAACAAACAAAAACATACTCAAGATTTAATTGGAATCACTGAGGACCATGATATCCTTTGATATGGTTTAATTAAAATCACAAGGGGTTGCGTGTGACAATACCTGTGACCTTATTAAAAGGTTTTCAAGCAACATGAATCCAACAGGAGCCCCTTGGTTCACTGATGGATCTCTTCAACGAAAACAGAAAGCACATTCATCACGTGTACATACATAATAGAATTCAATACAATCGCTGAATTTAAACCCTGATGATGTCATCTGGAGGACGCTGACAACAGGTTTTCTAAAATACAGCTGAGAGGAGAAGAGCAGAAATGAGCTTTGATGCTTGAAAACATGATTTTTAAAACTGTTTGCGCTTTGCATATTTAACGACGCTTTCCAGTATTTCAAAACAAAACCTGAATCTATATTATGAGGGTGTTTGTCCTTTGCGGCCCGGATAAATGTATTAAACTAACACTGTCGGCTCTTTCTAATATTTGGGAAGGTTATAAGGAGTTCAGTAGCACGCAGACAAAACAAAAACCCTGACACATCCTTTCATTGTTCACAGCAGCACCCTGAGACGCTCCAATTTGGTAGTTTCATTTGTGAATGAGACACAGAGGACAGGCTCATGCATATATATCCAGCGTACAGCTCAGAGTTTTCTAGCCGTAGCGTCGTTAAAGTGGAAAAAGGCTATAAAATGCTTCTTTCTCCAAGGGCGTTCCTGATATAATAGACTATTGCTTTCCACCGTACAGTTTATCCTAGATGAGAAGGGACGGCAGCGTTACCATTACCTTACCGAGTTCTGTCTGAGCCTTTTCCTTTTTGGTTGTATTCATAACCCGACACATTTCACTCATCTTCCACGCTAAATAATTTAGCAGCACAAACCGTATTAATGGGGGCGATCCATCTCTGGTAGATGGGAGCTGCAGAGTGGTTATTTATGTACAATACCAACCGGGGAATTAAGCATTGTATTTCAAATGAAGACAAGTTGAAAAATGTGGGGATTCTGAACTGGGAAGGCCTTTTGGTTTAGTTTTTTTTTTTCTCACAATGTGCGAAGAAACAAGCTGTGAGTGAAAAGTTACATCGGTAACTTAGACAGGAACAGAGAAATCCCTCATGTATAAACAGGACATGTGACGATGCGATGGTGTGCATGCATGTTTAAAAATAACAGACAAACTATGTTATATGAACAGATTGTGATATTTAACTTTCTCTCATGCGCTTTGAGAAAACTGACATATTGTTCAGCCAACTCACACATAGAATTTTTTTATAGCTGCTTTCAGACCTGCACTGAAGTCTGAACATTTCCCTGCGTAGTTTTCCGAGTCAGTTGCTCCGGATATTTTGCAAAACTTTTCCTGCCGAGCGAGCCCATGAAAGAATATATAGGAAACTTGACACCTGCTGCGTTCTTCATATGTAAAAGGCAAAGTCTGAAAAATTATGTTTGGACAGTAGACTGTATATAAAGAAGGACGACAAGTCTGTACTGTCCACCACTCCCCAGAAATAAAGCCAAAATATACCAGATACGAGCGCCGCCATCTTTGAAGTCTGAGCGTAAGGAATGTGGGGGTGAAGCCACGGTAGCAAGGTCCCATCATTTTTACAGCATCAAATAACTAATTAAAATCAAAGTTACTGTGTAAATGAGTATTTGAACAAACAGTGTGATAACTGAAACCATCTGAGAACAATTCATCTGATGTATACTTTTTAGTTCAGTTCCCGTCCCATCCACTAACATGGAGGAGCCACCAGGTGGAAATCCAGACTCTTTGGCTTCACTTTTGAGGTCATGTCGTCCATCTTTGTTTACAGTCTGTGATCCAGACATTCTCCTGAGTTCATCTCCTCCACTGAGCTTTGCGGAGAGAAGAATGAGAGCGGCGATAATAATCCCCCACATTAGATGCCAATGCCTGCAGTTACATGGAATCTACAACCCTCTGCAGCCATATCCCGACAAAGCATGTCTGCCACCGCAGTCCATACACAATCTAGTGAACTGGATAAACCCAGCAATCCACCTGACTCACACACACAAACCTACGAGCTGTGCAGCAGATAGTTATTAACTTAAGCACATCACACTCTCAAAAATTCATGACTTGGAGCAGACTGTTCTCGTCAAATGTTCCGCAGGTCTGATGAGCAGGAATACACAATTAATGCAGATGCAAATACGGCGAAGAGGATGAATGACAACAACGCAACGGCAGAAAATTAGCATCCAGCGAATGTCATGATGGTGCCCACACGCCGAGCAATAAAACAGCCAGCAGTCTCAGCATCCGCGCCGCTTCCTGATATTGCCTAAGCACACAAACCAGCGAGTGTTTGCAGCTGTTTTACATTTATTTACAGCAGAGTTTGCAAATCGGGAAAAGGGTGAAGAGGTTCGGATCTTAAGCAGCCCCGCGTTATTGCAAAGGTTGCATTGTTTATACTGCATTCATTTGAGTGTAGTCAACAGTATCTAAAATATTATATTAATATGATTTCCTCTTAGTTTTGAAGTCAGCAGAGATCAAAAGCTTAACTTTGGCAAGTCGGGGAACAGTGATTATCCCTGTTTATTTATTTAACTTTAGTGGAAAGTCACAGCTGTGTGTGTGTGTGTGTGAGCCAGAGGAGGATCCAGGGACATAAATCCAGTGACAAAGAGCCTCGCAGCTCTGCAGCGACCAAACAAACAGGAGACTCTGCATGAAACTTGTGTTCATGAGTGTGCAGCTCTCATCTCCACGGTGCTGGACCCAGGATTTAGTGGAGATTAAACAGATACAGAGACACTGAGGTGCAGAGAGATCCGAACAAAACTTTAACAAAACTGTACAACTTTCGTTTAGAACGCGAATCTGCCACACGTTATAGTCAAAGGCTGAGAGGTCTCACACAAGTTAATGCATTAATGGAAAAGACAAATGCAAAAGCCACAACCACATGACACAACTGCCAGAGATACGACACAACTAGAAAATGAACCGTCGTTCGTGAAAACACGGTCAAGCCAACTGCCGCTTAGGATTTGATGCTTGTCTATTCGAGTTGTTATGCTGCACGTGCTCGGAGCGTCCGGAACAGAAACACTTTTTCTCACGCGAGTCACCCAGGAGTCTTCATCTACTCCCTATCACAACCCCCAAGTACACTTACAAGAGCCCTACAGAGGCTCTGAGGGGGGCACCCTTATTAGACTCTTCATCTGTAATTAACCTAAGATCCATCCTCTCCCTATCATCATGCTAATGATGCTAATCTAATACTCCTGAGTGATTTGTAATGTGCACAGGCCATCGATCATAGCTCACAGATAATGGCCTGGTCCAGTCCGAGATGTTCCATTGTTGCTCCATTAGAGCGCCGTGGGCGCCTCAGAGGACAGCGCTTTGTTAAACAGTCGATGCTTCGAGGAGCTTTCACGCGTACGTTGTCGGACTTTTCGGTTTAGTCCGAACCAAAGTAACAGACCATGTAATGTCCAATTGACAACATTTTATTTCGAACGAAAGAATCTGGATCAAACTGAACTATGATTTGGTTCATTGGCTCATTCTCATTGTAATTATCTCACCTTCATTTTGAGGAATTTGTTGAAGCTTCCTCTGAGCAGAAGTCACCTGAAGAGAGCCCCAGTGATCTCAATGAACAGCGCCCTCTGGCTGTAGAAAACAAAACAACATTATGATGAGTGGGATCATTAAATCCAAAACTGAATTACATCTTTTAACAAATCTGTGTATTTTATAAGTACAATTTGCGACATATCAAGAATTGAATAATTGAGTTGCTGGATATGAAAGCTTTTGTTATTTAGCTTTATTAACTCCTCCATCATTCAGCAGCCACACACACACGCACACACACACACACACACACACACACAGACACACACACATCAACAGGAGCTACATTACAGTAATTGATATTTGTATCCTGAGACAGTTAAGTAAAACAACCTCTCTGGCTCAAGGCAGGAGGATTTCCCTGAAATGTAAATGGAGCTGAGAGAAGGTTGGGAGTGATTTAAGACTGGGTGACATCCACACTGGTGTGCTAAGTCAGTGAAAGTGCTGAGTGCAGGGCGCCAGGTCCGTCTCCCTCTCTTACACTCGCTCTTTCACTCCCTCCATCACTGTCTCTCTTTCTCTATCCCACCCTTTCCATTTCCCTCTTAAGGCAGCTGCCATAACTCAGACTCTATCTTAATCCTTTCTGAGAACACAAACACACACTAACACACACACAAAAACACACACAGAGGAAATCACAAAAGGCATTTGCTAGAAGTATGATCCTGTTAATCGCCTCTTGGACTTTAAGGTGAGAGCACAGAGCAGCAGAGGCTGAGTGGGATGTTATGAAGGCAGCCACAGTTATTTGGTTTCACAAACAGAATTCACTGTTTCAGAAACAACACAAACAACAGGAGGGTTAAAATGAGACCTGAAATCATGGTTCTCCCCTCCTCTCTCTCGTTCACCTCTCTCCCCCTTTCCTCCCCTCTCCTCTAATCCTAAAAGTAGTTTGAGGCTCGCTCATTGTTGGTTCTGATTTAGCTCTATGATGTAAAGTATTGATCTGTACTGTGCCTTCAGACAATGAATAGTATGATTTGGTGAATTAATTCGACACCTTAATGATGCGTAAAGAATCATCCTGCCACTAGAGGGCAGGCATACTAAAAAAACGTAATCACACAAACGCATCGTCAACACTGTTTGACTTCGTGTGGCGATTAGTGGTATCAATCTACTCATCTCACACAAAAGAAGCACATCTTCCAAATTGTATATCACATAGTATAAACATTTCTCAGAGGTATAAATTCCGTCGTACAGACCAAATACTGTTTGTATTTTATCACTAGAGCCCTATTAACAGGGAACCCTAACATGAGCCTTCCACAGACAAATTGGTATCAGTGTTTTATTTCAGCCGACATATCGGTAATTGGAATCAGAATTTTCTTTACTCCCTAATGTGGACATCGGCTCCTGAGAATTAATAATGGTTGGTCTCAACATATCACATCTATATTTACCAGATGGGGTTAAAGTATAATCAAACAATTTGGTTTGATTAGTGAATCTGTCATTTTGATACAGTTTAATAAAGAAACGCTTTTAATTGATTTATTTAAAACACACAAACACAACCAGGCTTTAAAAGATTCATGCAAACAAGTTAACCCAAATTAAACCCAACTTGGACTAAAGCCAGTAGCGGTTTAACTCTGTGCATGCACAGCAAATGAAGCCATATGTTGCATCACCAAACTATGGTCACGGTCGATTCCTGTGGACGCTACAAGTGTTTCTGCTCTTTTTTAAAAAAAAAAAAATCTTTTATGTTTGTTTCTTAGTTTCAGAGGCCTCTGTCAGAGCCAATCAGAGATAAATGAGGGGATTTAGCTCGGCAGTCAGAGATAATAATGATGTCGTTTGAGAGGCGCGCACTTCGTATCCATGTATGGTGAGATGTGAACATAATAATAAAGGAAGGATAAAAATAGTCAACGATAAGTGATGAGATGACGCTGGTTGAAGGGGGTGACACTAGCCAACTGCCGGGGAGGGAAGCTCAGCTCTTGTTAACCTAAAATATGCTGAACGCTTCGTTCTTCAAACAAACTCTCTGCTTTGATCATTGTGAGCTCCGTGGAGGAACAGAGCAACAATAGTACACATGCTAATTTATTCTAAAGAAAGGTTGTAGTACGTATTTACAATTAAACGCGTATTACCATGGGGAATAGCAGTCTGCACGAACACACACTTCTCGAAATGCAATTGTAACGTCATCTGTGGTGGTTCAACAGCCAAAATCTGAAATAAGAGTTTCCCGTACATGGAATAAACAGACAAAGGGGACCCATTGTTTTGCCTCGGTGGCCTTATCTGGCCTTGGCCAGCGAGAGACGCATCGGGAGGGAGAGATCCAGTATATCACATCTCAGTGACTGTGGGGAGTCAGTATCACGGCAGATCTCCAGGTCATTTACCAGGGTGGGTGGTTTCATTAGTCTTCTTTGCAACAATACTCGCTGATTGCCATCTTGTTTCACGGTGATTTATAATTCCAGCCCCGCGGAGTTTGCAGAAATACCTAAAGCAACTGCTCAAATAAGATAAGAGTGGTTCTTTATATATATGGTGTTGTCTGTGGTGTAGATCAGTGAAAAAAGAAAAGAGAGGGAAAGGGGGAGGGGGAGAGAGAGAGAGGCCTCAGGGTGACGTAGTACTTTCTTTTTCTTTTTTTTTTGCAAGCATTAACAGTTTTTCGCCGGAGATGCAAGAATGCAAAAGGCTGTTGTTTCTAACTTCTGGAACAAGCTGCGACTGCAAATGAATGAGACAGTTGTCAGGTCGGATTCGGTTAACATGTGACGTGACGCCACCTTTATGGGATCGCAGGAGCACCGAGGAGAATAAAGCGGAATCCACAGACACAAGGGTGCGACTGTGGCAGTTTTGTCATTTCACAGGAAAAGATTCTGTCATCTCTTTTTCATCATCGCATTATTTACATAAAAGTGTACAACCCCTCGAATAAGAAGAGAGGCAGATGGAGGGAAGAGAAGCGAGGAGTCGTGCGGTGAACATGAACAGACTGTAAAACAGAACAATTACAGGAGGACAGAAATAGGAAACATCTTCACAAAGGTGTGATGGTGTTAATTGGATACAGCAAAAGAACGATGTTTAATTTCTTAGAGAAATTGTGCATTAATAACCAATTTACACTTTAAACGAAATTCTGGTAGTTTGTAATGTTATAACTCGCCGAAGTTCAAAAGACGAGACGGATCAATCTTTACTTTGAGGCTGTTTTTATAGCTTATTCTAAACTTGATATGCAGTTAACTTCAAGCTGCTCTTACATCATGACAGTGGCTGAAAGCACAGAGCCATGAATCTTGCACAGGGATTTTATTACTGCCGCAAAACAGCTAATGGGCCGTGCATTTGCTCAGATTAACATTGGCATTGCTCGCTGCTCGTGTGTGTGACAGTGTGTGTGTCTGTGTCTGTGTGTGTCTGTGTGTGTGCACACACGTACAGCCGGACCCGTTCAATTCAATCCAATTTATCTTCAGATCATGGTCCATAAAAGATGAAACAGCCAGGACATAAACTGCACATCCCACAGAACAATGGAAATCATATTAACTAAAACAAAGAAAAACAAAACCAACACGAGCACTTTAAACATACTTTATCAACTTAAAGGGTTTTTGTTTCATTCTAAAGGGAACTTTACACAGAAAAAACGCACAAAAAACATATATATATATGTATATATTCAAATTTGTATTATTCATGTTTACTAATGAATTCTTAAGTGTGTGTGTGAGTATGTTCCCATCAAATTTGACTTAGATCAACACAGATACACACACAAACACACAGACTCATATATATAGTAATATAAATATAAATATACATTTTTAAAACTTTAAAAATGTTCTCTCATGTATTGGTATGATAGTGTTTTACATGCTCAGACCATGAGGGGCAGACAGGATGAGGTAATCATGAGCCCATGCGGAGCCTCATTATTACTCTTGGATGTGCCTCGGAGGCACTGACTCTCCTCCCTCTCACTCACTGTCGGACTTCTCACAGGAGATTAGCAGAGGGCTCATCGATAGTCGATCACACGCCTCTCCCGCGTAGATTTACAGCCGGGTCACTCTGCTTCCCCTATTACCTAAGCCACATGTCTGGCCGAGTTAGCTCGCCGTCTACGTGAACGGGCTGGGCTCATTATGATTATGTAGGCCAGCGCGTCTCTTGGCCCCTCTCGCTCCCCTCCCAATCAGAGGGGACGGGACAAGGAATTATTCTGGCGATGAAGAGTGTAGCCTGGGGCACCTCTTCGGAGAACGGGCTTTATGTCCGCCTCGGCCTTCGCTGATGACTGAAGAACGGGCTGAGCATGATGTGCACTGAGAGGATGTGGTGTGGTCACACTTTGCCCCCAAGACACAAGATTACTCCATGATGAAAAACAACAGGCCTGAACCCACAACCATCACATTAACAGTAATTGGTGTTTTTCTCATCACGTCAAACACGCTTGAGCGCACACGCAAGAGCCGTCATATTAAAAGAGGTTGAAGGCTAAAATAGAAAAACATAGAGTGTACGAACACAATTCTTTATGTCTCAGACAACTCCTTGTTTTATTGGAACAACCTTAAAGGGGAGCTCCACTGATTTTACACATCAAAGTCTGGAGCTTCTTGGGGAGATCTATGTGAAAAAAAAGTTGTATAAAGCGATTTGTGGCTCCGGAGGGAGCTCGGCAAAAATCTCATAAATTCCCCGAAGTGGTGTCACAGGTCGAATCTGAAGACTCATGTTTGAAAGTGAAAAAAAAAATAAAAGTCTGGGGGTGTGGAGTTAGAGAGAAATGAGGTTCCCAGACCTCTGCAGCCCGCGCCTTATCTCTGCTCGAGGGCTGACTCTTGAGTTGCATTGTGGATAATGTATGCATTGTGGGTGATTTCTGGTTCTGCTTCATCCGTCCATCACAGTCAGACGATCTTGTAGGAGTGAAAAACGACTTGTTTATTTTTACAACTAAAGCTGATGGATATATTAAGAAAGTTTAGACTTTGAACATCAAGATAAACACATGTAAATATGTCACATGC